ACTAGGAAAAATTTATTATAAGTTTTGTAATGCTGAAATGTATTGCTTTGTATTAAATTTTGTATTAAAGTTAATTTGTCTTGAAAAGGATTATAAAATAAGAGAAAATATGACTAGGAAAAAAAGAATAAAGAGCAAAGAAAGAAGAATTATTCTAAAGCATTGCTCTTTCTGAACAACAGACAATTACATTAATTCAAAATGGCTTTATCAGAGTGAATAAAAATAAATCAGATCATATAACCATTGTAAGATATAAGAAGATACATTATCATTGCTATTGACTATATCTTGGACTAAGCATTATATTGTAAACAAATTTCTGTGAGATTATAATAATTTGAACTGCCTAACTCTGTTAAGTAACTTCTTGAAGTGCAGAACAACATAAAACCAAGAAACGCCTGTTATTCCGTCATGTGACATGTAATTTCAAGGAATGTTATACAACATAACAGTGGGTATTCTGAATTAACAAGGGGTATTCTGGAAAACAGATAATTATTAAACCTGGCTGAAAATGCTAAGCGTTAAATACTGCAGTTGAAGTATGTTGTGGAGAGCACTTTAGCACCTGCATATAAATCCAGCAAATATCGTTTCGGTGGCAGACAAAGGTATAGTGATACCTGATGTCATTTCTGTGTCCTGTTGGATACACTTTTCCTGAAACATTTACCTGCCATGGAAAAGTTTTCCACAAGTGCTTTATGAGTTTGCCATGGAAAAATGTTTCACAAGGGCGTTATGAGTTGGGAGTTGGGATTTTTCCTTTTTTTTTTTTTTTTAAGTAATTGAGGAAAAATTGCTTTGGATTTTGTTGGTTTTTTTCTTAGATATGTGAATATTGTTCCAAAAAGAGATTCTTGATGGAGAGTTTTGTGGTTTTTTTTTTTTTTTTCTCACATAGTTTAAGGGACTTGACCAAAAAGCAGAGCCTGAGCTCTGCTACTTCCTATTTTCTGCGCTTGCCTACAGTACAGCCTCTAGCGAGGCGTTGTAGGTCCCCTTGCTGTAGACCTGGACTAGGCCAAGAGCAGGAGTGATTTTTGCTGGCTGATTTACACTGCTTCTCTGAATAAGGTAAAAATAAGCAAAGGCTGCCTGTTGGGAGTGTAAACAAATTGAGATCTTGATGTTTTTTCTGCCAAAGTGGTATCACCTGAGGATGTGGAGTTTTCATGCCCCAAGCCAATAAATTGTTGTGTGGATTGGGCATATTTCAGTGCCACGAGTACAGCTCTTGTTTTTTTTTTTCAGCAGGACATGAATTTTCCGGGCACAATTATAGTGACATGGTGCTGGAGACAGTGCAAACACGGGGTAAAAATCAGCACCTGCTGTCACAACTTTGCAGCCTGAACAAATAAAACGCACAGAAAGAAACCGAAGGCACAGAAAGGTGAAAAGCTTCATCCAAGGTGAAGCAACTATGTCTTATATTGCAGGGTGAGCACATGCCTGAGCCCGGAGCTGTGGCTTATTTAGTCTTCTACATCTCTGTAATTGTGTCCAAATTAGTGAAAAGTTAAACATTCATGTCAGCTACTAGTTGCTGTGTATCAGCTGAAAAGGGTGCAGAATAATTTCCTAGGGAATTAGCTTGATAACAGTGATTCAAATCAACTTTGGAAAGTTTACAACAAAATGTAAGGGTGGGGAGCCAGAGCAGCTGTTGCTCACTGCTTCTTAGCTCAGACCTTGCTAGCTCTCCCCATCATCTCATTTATCCCAGCATGGGATAAAACTCAGGCAGATCCAGTCACCTTTTACCTGAAGCCATGAGACCTTCTGTGAAGTGCCACAACTTGATAAAATTAACAGTATGAATGGTTTAGAACCAAATTTGCAGTATAAACTTAACCATTCTATCTGTGAAACAGAGCTGGAAAACCCTCTAAATTTGTCTTGTCCATAGATTTTACCATAAATATTCTTAATATTTTAGACAGAAGATCCAGTAGCAAATCTGTCCTAGCACCATTTAATGGTTGTCCATGGCCATTGCTGTCTGTGGAAGGGATGTAGGATGGGCAGCATTTTGCCCCGATGAGTAACTATCTAAGGACACACATAGAGGTCCTAATGTAAATAAGAAAGAAATCCTTGCACTAAGATTATTTATGAGTATAAACTGAGATTATACCCAGGACGAAGCCAGGGTCGATAGCACAAGTGCCTTTTAACTCAGATGCGCTCTCTCTGGTGAGCAGTGCAGATTTTGTAAGCCTGGGCACAAGCATGCCAGAGTCTGAATATTCTCCCAGCTGATTAAGAACAATCAGTTATTATATCCCATGGGCTGTATACTGACTGTATTTTACTAGTTTATGAAACATGGTCTTCGGGCAAGAATGGATTGAATAAACTCTCTCCACTCAGTATTTCCTGTTCATGTGGGTTTCACACTTAAAACAATTTATTCTTTCATTTTCCTATTTGTTTTGTGTTTTTGCCCAGTGTGACTTTCAAGTGTTTTGATTTTAGGAATGCTTTGCCAATCTGTCTTCTTATATTCATGTTTCTGCTTTTCCTTTGTGAAATTAATACGTCAAGGGAATTTAACTTGCATTGTGAGGATGTGAGTGTACATTGTGAGAATGGATATTAAGCTATCTGTCTTAATAGGTGATAGATACCACATGAAATATGACTGGAGTAACTAAGAGCTTGTTAGAAGCCAGGAGAAGCTAGTATAGAGGTTTTGTTGTGATGATTTTTCACTGCGTTGTCAAAACATCTTATGTGGACTTGAGATCCTGCTTCTGGCTGCAGTGTGATCTGGTCGGGAGTCGGTGGTACACGTTCTATTCAAAAAAGACGCTCTTTAGTTTGATTGAAATACCAAGTCCTTTGAGACCTGAGCCTCACCGTTGCACACAGATAGGAGGGCTTGGCTGTGCCGTGGGAAGACAGAAAAAAATTGCCGTGCTCGCGTTGGGCAATTCATTATTTTGCCCCTGCCGTTAGAGCCAGAAGTGTTCCAGTAACCTGTGGTGCCCGTGATTTTTACACAAATGAGCTTAGGATGTCTTTGTGGAGGTCTAGGGGCTCACCGATTGTGTTTTACCAAGTAAATGCACTGTAGCGTTAAGAAAATGAACACTTGAAGAAAGCTGAAACGTGGGCACATGTTGAAAAGCTGATCGCTGCCCGGAGGGATGGCAGCCACAGCCGGGGAGGAGCCGGCATGCAGTCAATGTCATTCAGCCGCTTTCCAACACACGGCTGACCTAGTTTTCCCTTTTGGGACAGGCGTAGCCGTGCTGGTGTGAACCTTGGGCCCATGTAGGTTATTCGTGGGAAGCAGACCCTGTGGCGTTCCTTCTCAGCCTTACTGACACAGCTGCAGCTGCAATTTTATGCTTGCAATGCCTCGCTCTGTGCCCAAACATCAAATCCGTTATCCTGTGTTACCTTCTGTGCGCTTAGGGGTGGGGTTTTGGCTGCATACTGTATTACGGACTTTTCCTAGAGAATTTTATGGGGCAAAAGGCAGCTACTCTTCCCATAGCAAATACTATAGATTTTGAAAGGACCTGGGTCTAAATATTCTTTGTCAGAGCAAGAATGGCCTGTTCCTAGCCCAGCCTTCACCAGGCTTTGGTTATTTGTCAGTACTGAGGCATCTCATTCAAAACTCACACAGATTGCTCCACTATTTCGGCTTTTTGTGTGCCTCATTCTGTGTAATTTTAAACAACCTGACATTTCATGTCAGTATAATTCTGAGTTTAATTGAAAAGGGTGGGTATTTCATTTGTGATAAGGAAACAAGTTAGTTAAAACTGAGATTTTTGAGGAATCTTAATTAAATTAGGTCCCCTAACCTTGCTGAGTTGCAGTAAGACTTGGGTATTTTAGCTTAAAATCCCAGCCTGAAAATACACTCATGTGACCTCTGAGAAACTGCCTAAAGCCAGTGGTAAGAATTTATTTTGGCAGATAACCACATCTTCCTATATTATGAAAGGAAACTTGCTCTTTTCTGAGCTAACTGTTCATTCAGATGGGGATTTGGACAAAAAAAAAGCAGGAGAATACAAAGATTTAAAATTACATTAGCGGTAAGGAAATATTTTTAGTGAATAAATATGTTTAGCTTCAGGTCCTAATGCTGCGAGTTAATCCTCTTCCTTGTGTATTGGTGCTAAGACAGGCATTTCTTCTGAATTTAACATAACATGCAACTGTTATATACAGTCACTGTCTGCAATAATAACTGCAATTACCCAGGAGTTTTTTAATACAGTTTTTCAGTGAAAAATTTATGAAACTGAGGGGAAATGTACTAGTTACGAGAATATTTACTTGCATCGGAAGTTCCTGCTGTAAGCCAGAGGCAGCATCCCACTGCAAAAAAAGAAGTGAGTAGTATTTTTGTGTTAGCTCCAATTTCTGTACTGCCTGATTCCTTTGGCTGTTCTGAGACTTGTATTTTCTCTTATACTTTTTGGAAAAAATACCATATAGGGAAAGGGAATATTTTAAAATCCACAGCAATTTTCACAGAAGAGGAGTACTATTTTTTGACGAATAGTGCAATGAAAATGTGCATGACCCATAACTATCTTAGATGATCTGTAGGAGACTTTTCTTTTCAGGTACCTGTTATTTCAAAACCCAAAATATGGTATTTAGTTTGTATTTATCTAGGAATGTTACATAATTTGTTCAGGTACTCAAATACTTGTCATAACATGATAACTTACATTATTTATGTAAATATTTATAAAATTACAGCTCAACTCAGACCTAAGATGAGTAGAAATGATTGTCAGACAATCTGATAGAGTAGGCAGACTATTTGGTATTCATCTGTGAATTACTTGAAATATTTCACAATGTTGTTTACACGCACACACACAACTATGAAAATTAATTTCATAGTTAATTTGGGAAGCTATGAGGTCTCTTTGCAGCAGACATCTTGGCATATTATGCTTTCAGAGCTTTTATTGTAATTCCTATATGACATATATTGTTTTTTCTTTTATCAGAAATTTTTCCAAGAGATTCCAGTCTAAAAGACAAATTCATAAAACATTTTACAGGTAAGGCAGTGCTTGCTCTTAATTTACCTATGTATGCATATTCTAAGTAGCCACAAGAGTCACACCATTAGCTATTTTGAGGTTCTGTACCAAGTTTAACATTTGTAAAGTTAAATTTGCATTGTTTAGGACTCAGAGTTTTTACAGAACTCTAATTACATTTAGATTTGAATCTCTCTTTGAATAATGTAGCCTAAAATAACTTTCAAAACATGGTAAGTTTCATGATTTAAAACCTATCGTTTCATTTTCATCATCCTACTGTTGCTTGTTGAATTGCAGTTACACTACAGGTTTAATAGTTGTAGATACTGAATGTATACATGTCTGTATGCTACAGATACTGCATCGTATATCTACATGCAAACAATTTGCAGTATGGTGTTAAAAATGTGATAATGTGTGAGCACCTATCTGCTATCTCTGGCAAGTAATATTTTAATGAAAGCCCTCGATACATTTAAAATTTTAAATACATGTATTTTTTCCATAATTTTTGTCAGTCCTACCATATTTATTTTCAAGTTCACTAGTTTTAAAACTTCTCATTGGACTGCGTATATCTTTCAGAAACAGACCTACCTATGGGGCCATTAAGTTTTCACTGTATCAGGGAGACACATTTTGTCTTCTGTCTCATGATGTATACATGTCGATGCTTATTTTAACAAGGCAAGCAAATAGAACAAGGAAGGATTAAACAGTGTAAATGAATCAGAAAAATAATTTGCTATTTCAGATGTGAAAGTTTACTATGAATTATTGTCAAGTACTTGTACTCGAAAACTGAGATGGAGTTGTATAATGCACTTACCTTTGGGACTCTCTTTTGTAACAACTGGAAAAATATTGTACCCTCTGAATATAAGCACAAGGAGTTGCCAACAGCAAGATGCTTGCACTGATTCTTTACTCTCCAGTTCCAAATGTTCTGTAATTCAGAAAAGTGATGGTCTCAGAGCATGACAGTGCAAATCTGTTGATAATTTGCAAGATTATTTGGATTAGTGAAACTAAGAACTAGAGAAATAGTTGGCAGTTGGAGCATGAAAAAGAGAATTTGAAGTAATTATGCATTTCCTCTTTGCTGGAAATTTCAGACAGTCCTTGGCAAGAAAGGAAAGAATTTGTTGTCTCTTTTGCATGGGGGAGGTGTCCTCAAACCTTTAGGAGAAGCTCAACTTGAAGGATCTTTCTGCCGACTGCTAATTGCAGCCTAACAGCATCTCCAGGAAAGGTGCCACACCCAGCTGGCCCTTCACTCCTGCACTAAACAAGAGTAACCATGAACCTTACTGCTTTCATCCATATAAGAAAGAAATGACAAGAACATACAGATTCCGACTGTGCTATCCTATGTCGCACGGGAATACTGACAATTCCTCTCCTGTGGAGGACAGACAAGAAAGATTTGCTTATATTAATAATCCATTTCCTTTTCATTTTTAACTTTGGAAACTGCTGAGCTACCATTAAAAGCTCAACACAAGAATGTGAGGAAACTAAATAATGAATTAATTAGTTTCATTACTCAGAAACAACAGTGAAAAACAACCATAAGTTTTACAGAAGGTATTTTGAGAATACTAAATCATAGAAAAGAAAAAGAGAAAAAAATACTTGAAGGCCTATTTTGGAACCATTCCTTAAATTAACAGTCCTTTTCTGTATGAGTAGTTGCCATCAAAATTGCTGAAATTATTTGAAGAACATTAGCTGGAATGAATAAGGAAAGCAAGTTCATTCCAAAATTCTTGAAGTTTATTTCTTTGTTGGTTCAGAATGTCTGCCGACGTCTTTTTTCTTTTTTTTAATTATGCTCTTAAGATCTTCAGTGATGGTTTTTTCCACCTGTTTTTTTCCTTTTCCACAGCTTTATTAGGTCCTGTAACCCACAGGTGTTTTCTTAAAATACAGCCTAACTTTGTTTTTCTTGATTCTGTTCAAATCATAATCCTTTTTCTATCAAACTTAGTTAAGTAAACTGTTCAGGCTTAGTAGTTCAAGAGTTAGAACATCCTAAACTAATGAAGTTGTGAAAAAGAGGAGAGAAGGGGAAATCAACATTATCTTTACAGTCCATTACCTTTACAGTTTCAGGGTTAAGAAAATTATTGTACACTTCTAGTATGCCAAGAATACTAGACACATTTTAAAGCCAAATAAGAACCATATGTAACAGTCCTTGACTATAGGAAAAATCATAAATAATCTTGTGAGTCATAAAGCTATCTATCAATTCAGCTTGAAAAGCCAGCTGACACAGAGTGCTCTGTAAGGCACAAATAAAATTAACAGCCTATTTTTGATGGCAAGGAAGAGAGATGGAAAACTATGTATTATCTGAAGGGACATGGAATTTATTTAGTGACAAAAGCTGATGTTACCTCCATATATCTTGGATAATTGCAAATTACACACTTTCTCTTGAGCCTAGTTACTCATTCAGATAAAAAATGGCAACAATCTTCCAGTTCAAAGTTGCAAAGGCTGCTTTGTCAGTTTATTGAGAAGCTTATTTGTGGCTAAAAAAGTCCCATGAAATCTACATATTACTGTAAAATATATCTAGTGTTCATGTGTGTTCACTGTCACAGAGAGGAATCTTCTCTCAAGCTTGTGGTAATTTGACTGCACTATCCAGACAGAATTGGCTTAGTATATTTTACCAGGCTGATAAACCGCCTTTCAAGTTGTGAAATCAATAATTTTTGCCCAGAAATGCTTACTGTCTTCCTCTGACAGGAAAGTTAGTCAAAGCAACGTGCTTCGTGTGGATCCTTTGGTAGCACTGCTTGAAACAAGCTGTTCTTGTTCAGGGTTCCTATTTGTGCTGAATTTAGAGGACGCAAGTTAAATTCAGTCTTGTTCAGTTAGTGTCAGTTTATGTCAGTGTTTTCTGCCCAAATCACACTAAACTCATCCCCAGCTGTCAGAGGTAATATTGCTAAGCAGGTTACATGATGCAAATACTACATTTGCAATACTACATCAGCAAGTATGGAAGGGCTCTTTGGCAACTTGTTACCTTTGAGCGATGTTTTGGAGATGAGTAGCTATATATTCCTATGAAATATTAATGCTGGCAGATGACACTGATATCCAGAGAAGGGAGGACAGGCTGGAAGAACGGAGACGCAGCATGCTACACCCTGGGCACACAGGGGTTTGCCTCACCTTAATGTTGAAACATGTGCTGCCCTCGGCACATCTGCAGCCTTTCTTGCTACCACTACTTTAACGGCAGATTGGGGTCCTAGACGTTGTCATTTTTTTTTCCTCAACACCCACATTGTATATTAAGAACTTCATAAACCATCTATGTGCAAATTAGAAGCATCAGTACATGAAACTACATCTTTCCAGGGCTTAGAAACTAATACTTGCTTAAAATGTTGTTTTATTTATCTTTAGAAATATCTGCATTCCATCTACATTATTCCTTCTACATTAGAATACTGACTACTAAGCAAATGAATGTTGTAGTTGCACCATTCTATTTTTCACTATATAAGAAATTTTAATGTTAATTTTGAATTACTGGAGTTTCGACGCTAAGCCAGTCCGTCGTTTCCAAGGGCCATTTTTCTGTTATTCAGATCATGAACATAATAGCATAGCAGTATTATTTCTTTCTGTTATTTCAGTAGCATTGTTATACTTGTGCTGCATCATAATTATTTAAAGTGTAGTAAAAAATTAAATGTAAATTTGTCAGAACACATGGAGATTAATTCTAGGTGTTGAAGTCATTCACTGAAGCTGCAAAGCAGTGACACTGAAAGCTTGTGGTTAACTCCTGCTTACTTTCAAACAGGGCCAGTCACATTTTCGTCAGAGTGTAGCAAGCACTTTCATCGACTGTATCACAACACAAGGGACTGCTCAACACCAGCCTGTAAGTAGTAATTAAAGTACCTTACAATGCTAACTGTGATACTGGTTTAAAAGCAACCTACTTTTCCTACTTTGATGTGCTGGTCCTTCTGTAACTGTTGCTCTTTACTTCAGCACTGTACAACAAAATGTAGCCAAGATCTTCTAATACACAAAGATTTTCTATTAATGCACTTGCAGTCAGCTGTGTATAGTGGAGTTCCTTCAAAGTGAGGCTAACGTAAATGAAATGAAAACTACACTCTGAAAAAACAGTCAGGCGTGCCTATGCAGAGGGCAGACATGAAGCCATATTCTCCTTCCTGCTCTCTTTACCTCTACTTATTAACTTGTGCAATAAGACAAAATCTGAACCATTCTCTACCTTCTCTTAACACTCAGTAGTATGATTATGTCGTGGTTTTTAGTGTATTTCAGTTTGTGATGATAATTTTCTATTATATGCCCAGTGTTAAAGAACATAAAATCAATTCAGTTGTCATTTCTGTGATTGATACATGCACTTCTTATCAAACAATATTCCAACATAAGATCCACAGAAGTTTTGCTTTAACATAGCCGGAATGTAATTTTGTCAGAGATTGAAAAAGAAAACTGTCATAAGATGTTATTAAATGGATAAAACAATCAAAGAAAACAAAAATACCCGAACAAAATGGAAATCCCTCAAAAAGAAGTTACTTCAGCATTTTCTAGTGCAATGGACAATTCACATAAAGTGAGTGGAAAATAAGCGATACCATTGAATTAGAAAAAGTGGATCTCATCTGTAATGTGTAAAGACAAATTATGGACCAGGGTGCTTTGGAAATTTTTCAGGGTTTAACATGAAAAAATAATAACACTTCTTGAGTGCATCACTTAGAAAGATGGTAAGCATTTTTGTGAGCAGCTGAGACGCGCTCTCACCAAAGCTCAGCATCTTGGAGGATCTGGCTTTTGAAAGGGGCTGGAGCAGCCATCATCTCCATCCGCCCTTACACTGATCACAAGTTGGAATGTAGAAATCCATGGCTGATCCTCCAAAGAGATACATACAGCTTTGTAGACAGACATATGAGTAGGCTGGACATATATCTATTACATGCTGCATAACAAAAATACCATGCATGTTTCATACCTTGATACATGGATCCAGAGTATATGAATAGTGTTTGGATCAGTGTATTGCCTGATTGCTTCACTTTATTTTTGAAGAAACACAGTCATAATATTTCTCTTCTGATTAATTAGCTTTTCTCTAAATTTAAAAACAAGATTGTGGTTAGGACTGTATGAAGGACCGATTTTTAAGTTCAACTATCAAAACAAAATGTAAAATAAAAAACATAATTAAAACTGAAGCAGTTTTTTTTTTTTCTCCTTTATGTCAACCAAACCAAAAGCAGACAATGAGTTTCATTCAACCTGAAATGTTCAGTTGATTTAAAAAAGAGAGCTAAATCCTCAGAACTATCTCCACCTTACCCAGCACTCAGACTTTATAATAGCTATCAAGGCTGATCATAGCCAGGATCTTTTCCTGTCTCTTTAGAGGGGTTTGATATTTCCTTTCAGGGACAGCGTAGTGACCATAAGATGTCCGAGGATGAGTTGCTTCCTCTCCTGCTGACATGGTTATATTCTGTACAAACATTCCCTGAAGAACTGAACCTAGGTTAGCATTCAGTCTCTTACTGTTTGGCACAATTTCTATTAAGTTTTATTAAAATACTTATCAAGCAAGAGATGAAAATTGCACCTAAGTATTTCTTGTTACCAAATAGTTAGATCTTTCCATCAGAAAGGACGACAGTGGCTCAAGGGCCACTTGAACGAAGCAGGCATTTGAAGCAAGGACACCAGAGAGGGAGATAACAAGTGGGACAGTAGTATCTCTAGTCTGATGATTAGGAGATGTACTTAGACATGGAAAATACGGATTTCCATCAATGTTAATACTAAGTGGAACAATAAAGAGTTTGAAAGAGCCTGACCTCAAACTACCTTATAGTCTGCTGGTTAGAATAGCCTCTCAATGAGTTGAATTCCTTCAAGTAAAGTTGGGAGTTCAACTCAGTCTTCTACATCTTATGAGGAAACTACCTGATAGAAAATTAATTGCTGTCATCACTCACATTTCCTCTAGAGCTCTGTCTAGGATAAGGTACAATCTAATTTTGCATCTTACACACATAATTTAATGAATTTCCGTCAGAGAATGGTTTTACTGTGTAAAGTGTCTGAAATTCTAGTACAAATTCTGCATTTAATTTTATGTAGTTTTTTTTGAGGGTATCTGGCAACTGAGATTCATTATTACTGTGTGTAATTTTGTTTTATAGATTACAAAAGGTGTGCAAGGTTGCTAACAAGATTAGCAATGAGCCCGTTGTGTACACAGTCCTAGGATGTTTGCTATGTAAGTATCTTTTTCTTATTTGTTGAATGGTCCAGTAATTTACTTCACACTTATACCTTGTTATCAGGTGTGCATACAGAAATGTGGTATTAAGAGAGTGATAACACTCAGCTCTACCAATGCCTGAACTGACTGGTTCCTCATGGAAATACACAGAAGCACAGACACCTCTGATGGGCCCCACTGTAATTTCCTACAAGTTGCCTGTGGCACCATAGTCCATAATTATGCACTGAGTGACCTCTTACTGTTCGAAATTTCAAGTATGAGTCTGGTTGGTGAAAGAAAAATACATGAGGACTTCATCAACACATTTATTTCAGGCCTTTCGGAAGAGGGCTTTGTTGTTCATCCGTGGAAGAAACAAAATGTCTTGATCTCAGGTCTGCCAATGCAATCTTCATAGATACCCTACCACTTTATTTGTCTTTGGGACCACTTTTCATTCCCAGATTGTCTCCTGAGAATTTCTGTAGAGTTAATACCATTTAATGGTGATGGAAGGAAACTGAATATAAAGATGTGACAAAGCTAAAGGCTTCAAGTAACAGTGTGTGGAAGGAGCCAGTCCATTCTTGTTTATGAATAGCATGTTAAATGTGCTAATTAAAGAGCATTGTCACTGATAAAAGGAACATCTTCAAGTGAGCTGTTTTCTCCAGTTGTTTGAATATCAATAAGATGGTTACACTTCCAACAGTAATTTGAAAAACTGCAGTGGTTATTATCGACCAATAAAATATATAAAATCAGTGACTTTAATTTATTTAAATTTCTTCAAAGATGGTTTCCTTTCACCACCCCCTCCTGACAAATACTGCAAGCTTGGAGTTTGAGGGAGTTGTGTATGTCACTTCTTCCTGCATCAAGACTTCAATTCATACTAATCAAGAATAAGAAAGGAAGAGTAGGATATGAGTCAGTGTTAGCTGATTTGATTTCCAAGTGGAGGTGGGATTCATTTTGGTGGCTGTGAGAAAATGCTTTGAAGAATATGGCAATATTTCAATGCTGAGAAGAAATGACATCATTTCTTTCTCCTCTTCTTTTATTTTCTTAACTATTTTCAATCTGTTTGGCCTCTTGCCTTCCAGGTCTTGCAGATGGTTTTGAATATATCAGGGACACTGAACCAGAGACTGACTAGGGAACTCATTACTTTGCCAGGATCTCCTTTTTATGATTAAGGGCAGGAATCCTTTTCTGAATGCCCTTTTTTTTTAATAAAAAATTTTTTTTGAGATGCCTAAATTCCTGTTTGCTTATTAGTGTTCATTTTCAAATCTTAGCTTTCTAAAACGTCTCAACACTCACTCATTTTATGCACTTTCACGTATTTAGTCTATGTTTTTACCTCATCTATATCCCTTTACACCTCTGGGTTCATGGCTCAGGGCTTTCAGAAAAATTTCTGGGTCTTCAATATTTTTTTTTCCTTTTTAAAGAGGGTGAGTCAAAGATCTGCCTCCATATCCACAGTACAGAAGCATCTATCTCCATCCTATTTCCATCTTTAAAATACAAAAGGATCAAAAGTTGCTATGATTTGCAAATCCAGGTGTTCTAATTTGCCTGCCAAAAATACACTCAAAGAGATGACATGTAGGGAAGGGAGGGTTTAAATGGTTAGCAGTGTTAGCAGCTCGTGTGCGTTGTGTTCACTTCAAGTCGTATCTAGGCTGACTTTCTCTCTACTTTGTCAGAAATAGAGAAAACTTTATAGGAAAAAGTAGAGCTATGATCTGAGTGTTTCCCAGCCACCTCCATGCTCCCTCACCCTGTTCCTCCATCAGTTAGTTAAGAGTGGCTAGTTTCCACTAGAGATAAGACAGGCTCAGGTCTTCATGTTTACTCATCTCCAATATCTTCCTGAAATGGAAACATTTTCCTGAGAAGGATGAAAGGTGGCAGGAGTCACTCTCTCTTCCCTCCAAATAAGCAGGGAAGCACAAGAGTTATCTATGTTCATCTCTCAGTAACGCTGCATTTCTAGCATGATTTTGTGATTGGTTCCACTGTGGCTTTCAGCATGGGGGATCTGTTTCCCTCACCACCCTCACACTAGCTTACAGAAGACAGGGTCATAGTTCGTGTTTACTGTAAGGGAATTTGCCTTTACTTTAGCATCTGAGAGTCCTGGAGATTCTCCGTTGCCTTGAAGAAGGAGGCTCTCCCACGTGAAGGACTGACAACTATTTTTAGGCATTTCTCCTTCACATACTAAAATAGGCAGCATTTTCCTCATCAAAAAAGATCTGCAGTGCTATTATGTGAACATTTTCCTCCCTTGCCTGTAAGGGCCGGGAGTACAAAGAGGAGACGTGGTCTTTTCCCGGTAGAAAGGAAGTTTTGCCTGGGAAAAGCCAAGTCCTCCCAGGGGAGCTGCGGAGGGGAGCGGGGCGGGCGGTTTCAGGACCCTGGAGAGGGGCGCGGGGGGGCTGGGCTCCAGGTCCCCGGCAGCTCCTCGCCCCCACGGCCTTTAGACCCTTCGGTTGGGGTTTGGGTTTTTAGGTTGTTTTTCTTTCCTCCTAATTCAGATCCTTGCAAATGGAAGTAAAGCATTTGATGAAAGCCAGAATGTAGCAATGCACACGATGGTGTGCGTGGGAAACTTCCTCGGGAGATGCGGCAGCACGGATGGCTGTGTGTTAAACCTCTTCCCATCAGTGCTGAGGATCTGCCACGGCAAAACTCATTAGTGTTCACGGGAGGGCAAGACCCGCTGGCATTCTGGAGTTAATCTTAAGATTTATGCAATACGCAGGAAACTGTGATTTATAAACAGAATTACACTGAGCGGTGTTTTGAAACTATAAAACGGCATGTCCTTTTCTCTTGCAGACTTTGTACTAAGGAGAGAATTCTGATTTGCCAAGAAAGTGCCTTGAAATCTTCCAAGACGGAGAAGACATCTTTTACCTTTTTGATTTACAACGTTTTGTTACTAGATACTTTTTATTTTCATATGTTTGTCGGACATTCCATATTTGTGTGAAACATTATTTTATTTTAATTTGTAAATTTGTTGCCTATAGTTCAGACAAGCCAATTATTTAAATACATTGTATATAAAGAATACTAATGATATACTGATTAAATGTTATAACCGTATGCAGGGAGTTGGTAAAATTTTGCTGTTTCTCTTGTTCCATTGTATTTACATCATTCTGCTCAGGCTCTTACTTTCATTATTTGCACTAACTTGAAATGCAGAAGTCTGTGTAACTGAAATCTGAATAAGCTGTAAGTGGGGAAGTTTTACTTGCCATGGAAGATATTTTATATTATGAAGCTTTGTTAATATATACATATATATTATTGCGCATCAGAAAAAAATTGCTCAGAAATGCACCTTGCTTTCAGGAACATTTGTATGACTATTCTGGATTTTCATCAGTTACATTTGTACTGGCACTTATGGAAAGAGTTGCAAATAATGTAAATATAAAGACTGGAAAACTGCAATGCAGTTTTGATGGAATAAAGAACATAAAAATAAACTATTTTCCAGGAGAGGTTATTTAAATTTATTAAGAGGTTACTTATTTAATATCTAATTTATCTGGTGAACTTGAAATAATTTTCCACTGAGAACTTCAAACTTGTGGGTTTAGTTTTTTTACAGCCTTTCACTTTGAAGTGGTAAATTTTATTCAGATATTTATTCTTCAGCTGAATGAGGTGCAAACACAAATGCATCATGCACCTACTGTGAACAACAGAAACCACCTGTGGGGATGAAGAGAGGGTAATAAAATAGCCCGGTAGAAGAGAGAATAGTTTAAAGTATCGTACCATATACCAAGGCGTACAATGAATGAATTTGGCTGGGGACACATGAAGCTTAACTATTTGGGAAGAATGCAAAGCACAATTGCTGCATCTTTCTTATTTAAAATGAAATTGTGATGATAACATTTGCTACCCCTTTCTCTCAGCTCTTTTATTGCAAAGTTACATGATTGCTTTGCAAAGAACCCGATATGAAGTCAGGTTTTTCTGGTCAGGCCCAGAGTAATTGACAACACATGTTGATTACTGTGCCCAGATCACAATTAATGTGATTAACTGACCATTCAAACCAATCCTCTCAGATTAGATGATGTCTCTATCCTTTCCCTCAGTGTGAACTTTATGAGCCCCTTAACTTCTATGGCCAGCACTTGTCCCTCTACAGAGTAGCAGGGAAGCTCTGCCCTGGGATTCCTTGGCAAATAGCAATCAGCTGCCTTATTATCCAAAGGGGTTTTGGTTCTTCTTTCTACATTGTTCAGCGTGTTTCAGCACCAGAGCTGTGCAGTGTCCTCTGATGCACCAGGCAGTCCAACCCACAACTTCTGCGGGTACCATCATGTTCTGTCTGGGCAACAACACATTACAGCAGGTGTTTCTAACCAGCTCCTTAGTCACAGCTGTTGAAGTCGTTACCCCCTCTCTCATCCTGGCTAGCAGGTTGTCCTGTGCCATTTCTATTTCTGCTTAACACCATTGTTTTTCAGACTTTTTTGCTATCATGTTCTTTTGGTAAGAGCAAAGTTTTCAAGCCTTATTCTAATCCATCTTGGAGGCAGTGTTCATACTGAAGATACAGTAGCATATGGGAAATCCTGGTGGCTGAATGATGAGATGGATGACCTTGTTTCTTGGTGAGTAACATACTTCATAGAACAATTAGTGGCCAAAACACTTCAGGCAGAGAAGAAAGGATGTGGCCCGGGATAGAGATCAGAGGCTCCAAGAAAAGCATCTATTTTTAGTCCTGCTTTTGTATTTCCACTCTGGTTTGTTTTCTTCTCAATTTTAAAAAAAGTCCCCCCTTTCTCTCCTCAGGGAACTGAAAACAATGAAAGGAGAAGCAGAAAAAGTGGTTTTTTTTAAGACAGTGACTTTTTGTGATATCTGAATTCCAATGAGAAAACATAATTTGGGTTATTTAATATAATTTTTGGGCTCAAATCTAATGTGCTAAATCAAGAGCTTCACCTTTGTGAAAATAAAGACATCCTCTTTTTGTTGAGTAGAAAAGTGATCAACTCCCTGTGTTTGAGAAGATTCACAGATGTTACAAACATACTAAGTAGAGATTAGCATGGCAAGTTAAATGTTAATGAAGGACAAAAAAAAAGTGCATTAAATGAATAACAGGATAAAACCTCCTAGTTCTTCTAATTTCCCAGAAGTCACATGGCTCAGATTTTTTCTGGAGACAAGTTATTCTTTGAGACAGCTGTGGCATGGATTCATTCTTTCTGTTTGGCCCCTTTTGATGCTTGGTATGCTCTGAATGGCTGGAATTAAACTCAACTTTTCTGTACCCTCCCTCTATACATTCATTTGTCATCATTCTTCATCATAGTTTTTTGATTCAAAGCTACTGAAGTTACTAGTATGAAAATCACAAAGTAGCATAGCATAGTCACTTTACTATTTAACCTGAAATATACCTTGTATTTCTTCTATTCTAAGATTTTTTAATGGACCTGCATTTTAGGAATCAAGTCTAGAGGGTAGTTATTTGGAAACACTGTAGAGAACCAAGTGCCATAAAAGCTGAGAGGAGATGATACACTTTTAAGTAAGCTGTGTTTTTTCCGGGTTAAAATGATTTCACACATGATTGTTTTCTTTTCAAGCTTTCCTTTCATTTTTTTTTCCCATATGATTAAATCTAAATAATATTTTGGCTTCAGAAATAAGTTCTGCTTATGGTTTTTCCCATAACCATGTTGTCTTTGCAGAATCTCGGCAGATGGTAATGATAGAGGATTTAAAAAAAAAAAAAAAAAAATCTTTGTAGCCTATTATTAAAAAGGTCAGGGGAAAAAAAAAAAAAAAGATGGAGAATCATAAGTTTGGGATGCCTGGACTTTTATCCTGAAGGTTGCAATGCAGGAATTCAGACAAAGTATAGAATAGGTACTTTTTCTGGACAACATATAATTTCAATTGTTTTAAATGATTTAAGCCCATAAGTGAATGATTTTGAAACAGTCTGTCGTACTGTTTGTTATACAAAGATACATTGATTTATGTCACTAAAGAGGTCAACTTGTCCCTTATGAAATAAAGAGTACCTGAACTAACCTAGGTGTCTCTGCCCATGGCAGTGGCGTTGGAACTAGATGGTCTTTAAGGTCCCCTCCAACCAAACCATTCTATGATTCTATGAAATAACATACTGTGGTAGGGCCAAAACTGAAATATCCCTCAGGAGTAATTCTGCCGTTATCACTCTAACAGTAGCCTCTCGTGTCTGCCCATTGCATCACATACTGTAAGGAGAATAATTGGTCCAGCAGAAGAATGTACATCTTCATTATGCTTTACTGGGTTTTTACTGTGATTGTTCTTCACATCTCATCTTTCTTCATTTAAATTATCAACTGCTATTTGCACAGGAGTTTGTATTCCTATGGGTTTAAATGTTTAGAGCTGCAAGTTCTCAAGAGCTGGCCCTGGAGGCTCATAAGTATGCTAGTACATGTGTCCAGTGGAACTTTCTACCATGCCAGTGCCTAACAGCAAAGTTTAACTTACTTTGATTTTTTTTTTTTTTAATTGGAGGATTGAAACATTTTATTGAACGCTTATGATGCAAAAGAAACGAGATTTGAAGCAGAAAAATGTAAGGGTAAAACTTTTACTGTACCTCATAAGGCTGGGCTGACTGCCATTTTGTGGCTCTCAGTTGTATATAATCATTGCAAACCTAAAGCTGCAAAAATTTACTGGAACTCAACCATTTCTGAGAGCTTCTGTATGTCTGATATACAGAACCAGACACAACGATCTCTCTGTCTGTATCCATCAGCATTACTACAAAGTCAAGAATGTTTCCAGTCATAGTGAAACAAAAGCTATCCTCATTCCTAAATTTTATTGTTTCCATCAAAATTGTGCTTTAGCAGCAAAATTGTCAATGTCTGTTTTATAACACTTTAATTAAAAAATGAGACAGCTTATTTTAGTTTGTGGTTTTGGTTTTTTTTTTTTTTTTAATCTGCTAGCTGTCTGCTTTTCCCAAATATCTCTGCTAAGTAGAGCTGTATACCTTGTTTCCAAATACTGAGAGGAAATAACTTTTAGAGGTGCACAGAAGAGCTTTCCCAGTGAGAGAAATTCTCTGCACTTCAAAGTAAAATCCCCACTGAGCAAATAAGGTTACGTGAGCTAACTCAAGTCTTGAGGGTAGTGTATACTTCGGAATATTTTCAAAGCAAAGTGTCTTCGTCCTTCCTCCCATCTGCTACCTGTATAAATATTTACCAAACAAGCTATTGGCTTAGGTATGTGTACCTTATATTTTATTCTCTTGGTCTATTCAATCTAGGACTTTTACCTTTATCTTTTTAATGAATGTACTGATATAGTTATTATCTCTCTGTGAGTTCATTCTAAGGGTTTATTAGACATTGTTTTCCAACCAGCAGTCAGTATTGTTTTGTCTTTAAGGATCTCCTTGTCTTCCATTGGACACACTAAGCTTATGTTGTAGTGCTGTCATGAAAGCACTTTGAGCAGATATTTTTTTCCTCTCGTTATGTTAATGGCTGATTCAATTTAATGTGCTATATTAAAATGCTGCTTAAAGTTTTCATATCTCTAAACTTCTGTGAACTTGAACTATTTAGCACCTGGTATGGGAATGGTAATTTGTCCTACTTCCCAACAAATCAATTCACAGTGAAGGGCAGGGAGAATGGGTACCTCTTATACCCAAATATTTCAGGTAAGGATGCGTTTGGAATTAAGCGTACACAGTTGTACAGTGACATCTGAGTTTACTCAGTTTTGCAAATGTGGGCAGGGATGTTTGAACATGAATTAAGCAAGTGTTTAAGAGGAAGTATTTTGAAAATATATTGTAAAGTACCCAATTTATTTTTAAATGTGCTAGACTGGCATAGAAGGATGTGACCCATTCAAAGATCTCTTTCCAGGTAAAAACAGTCTGGATCAAGAGGTTCAAATCTTTTTTCATGACTGCCATAAATCTTGCTTTCTATATCCTAGCTTGTGAAATTCAAAATTATTGAACTTGCTGGAATATGCAAATATGTCCCAAGTATTTTTTTACCCAGTTCTAGGGATGAGAGGTTGGAGCCAAACATACCACATAGCTGGAGGAAATCACAATTTGCTTTCTGAGGTTTTCACCAGGACTGATGGATACTTTGTAGGAAGTTATAAGAAAATATGTCATGAAAATCATGAACTAATCTTTTCAGAAAGGAAACTTCCTAACTTGGAGCAGTTATATCTAATTTATTGCAAGTTTTGTTTTTTATATCTCTTTTTAGTAAAACCAGAACCAAACTGCCCCTTTCCACTCAATGTAACTGGGAAGAAAATGGAGTCCATTCTACTAAAATGGATGTATCTTCTATGGAGTGTTTTGGACTGTGCTCCTCATCAATCTTTACATGTATTCATTCTAGTCATTTGGTAGCACTGAAAATTTTGAAGTGTTGAGTTGAACTGAGTTGGTC